TTCCAAAACACAGCTGCAAGGGAGTGAATCTCTCTCTTTTCCAGCCAAATTTAAATCTAYCCTCTCCAGAATGGAAGAATGCTTCACTATGAAATATGAACCTGAGTTTCACGCTCCCCTGCAGTGCTCACCAGACTAGGGATGGAATTTTAAGAAAAACATGACCCTTTCAAACATTGATTGATCTGCCACTGTTAAATGTTGTCCATCTCAGTRTGCCTGTGGCAATGGGTGACAGGTTTTTAAAATTATGTTTTAAAGAGGACTCTGACTTGTTTTTTATAATGTTGAAAATCTTTATCTTGACTCATTTCTGTAATAAACTTCTGGCAACGGGAAGCTATAATTTATTTACTTGGAAATTTCTCATCTCTATTATCGTAAAGATGTCTTAGCAACTCTATTTTTAGGATTGCCCAAATGGGGCATAAATCMTATTTTTCTTTTAAAGCAGATTGTGCTAGGATGTAGAACATCAAATGTGTGAAGATTTGTGTCCATCTAAATGATCAGATTGGTTTTTATTTCCAGGGACAACCTCAGSCATCAAGTCCCACCATATGCAAACCCAGACCACAACACAGATGAGATATTTAGCTTGTTACACAATCTCTTCCATGCATTTAATAAGCTGCAGTAATTCAGGGATGGTTTTCCCAGTGCACACCACAGGCAACKATTTGGTTTCAAGATCCTGAAGCTGTGTAGTTCTTGGCTCTTTTTTTTTGACCATCCCTGGAAAACTTATTTTCACTTTKAAGCCAAAGAATGGCATTGCTGCTGCTGATCCCAATACACACAGATACCACATTTCCTTTTACAATCTGATATTTATGCCCACTTYGTGTCTCTGTAGAGAAGTTGCCATGAGTAAGTTCCATTTTCATAGCTGCAAGTTTTCTGGTGTAGTCTAACACASTTTCATGGTTCCCCAATTTCTTTTTGATGTGCAAGTCCTTTCATGCCTGAGGGAAGCACAGAAGAAAGCATGGAAGTACTTGAAACATTAATAAATAGGTCCTGGAGGCTGATATTATGGGCCAACTGGGTTTAGGAGGAGGTGGTGTCTCAGTGATGAATAAGAGATGTTAGGAGAGGGGGATGGCATGCCAGGAAAGACTGGGAAGATGCAAAGCTTGAAGAGACACAGCAAAGGCAATCACTCACAAAGAAAATGCCTTTGCAGAAGCCCTTTGAATGGGCATGAAAAGTGCAATACTGTCTTTTCGAGACCCAGAGCCAAGGAAGCACGACAGTGCCTAGAGAGAATAGTTTGGCTGAGGTGATGCATCAGAAAGTTCATGTCTTTGAAAAAACACAGAAAAAACTCAGCAAGGTGTAAGTCAGAACTTGGGGCTGAGGACMTAAGGAGAATTCAGAGCAGAAGATCATGCATGGGATATAGGTCTGAATTACAAGATGATTATGTTCACATCTTGATTGAAAATGGAAGGAGGAGAATGAGATTAGAACAGTATTAAYCATCCTAATATAGCTGCATTAAGGATAAAAAAGGCTAGTCTTCCCACTAAAGTTCTAAGGGTAAGGGTTGCTTAGAGAAAAAATGGGATCTGACTTGGAGAGGTCAATTTGTGATTATTATTTCAATAGAAATAGTAGTAAAAAGCATGTTTACACACATTCAGCAACACAGGGAGGMGAATACAGAGAGCAGGGCAACAGGCCAAGGACCAAAGGTTTGTGGCAAAGCTTGGCTGAGGGTAAAGTCTCTTCCAGAGATGATTGCAGGAATAGGAGGAGAACCATAAAGATAGTCACAGGTGCCACAAGTGAGTCTAGTCACACCAGAGAATAGATTTCCCAAAGAATGTGCTCTTGGGACTCCAGTCATTACTGAGTCCAAGAGGGTAAGAATGTGATTTCAAGCTGCATCYGACTTTCCATGGAATCTGGAAAGACTGGACAGTTTTAGGGAGAAAACTGAAGAAGAGGCTTTGCAAATAATGAATCCAGACAGTGTRCCCAAACTGTAATGCTAGAAAGGATCACTGCAGTTTCAAGAAGAAAGAATAGTACATTGATATGGATCTGTAATTCTACAAGACTTACTTTGTTTACCTTTGAAAAATGGAACTGCCCTAATAGCTTTCCAGAAATGTTGGCTTGTGGAAATGCAGTGACTCTAGTGCTGGTGATCAAGCAYTTTTGGACCTCAAGTTCCCAGTTACATTAGCAATTGATCAAAGTCAAGGCAGTGAGTASAGGAAATTCCTGGTTCTTGTGAAAACCTTCAGGTTTCAGCTCAGGATACTTCAGAGAGCGTTCTGGGCATCTGTGATAAAACACTTACAGATGCAAAATCTATATRGTGGAGCACAGGCTCACAAAAACAACTAATTCAACATAGTTCTATATTTAATGTTGTTCAGCTACAGAGTAACACCACTGCAGCGTGGAAAATCACTGGCAGGCTTACAGGGATATGCATATTACCCTGTATGACAGAACCAAAGGATGAAAAATTACTATGAGACTTTGGTAAAAAGTAAGGAAGTCAAAACAAGCACAAAATTGTAGAAATACAAAACTTTATCATGGTTTAGACACAGATGCTTTAGAATTTGGAAAGGTTATCATAAACTTAAAAAAACCTACAGAAATGTCACTTTCTTCCAATAAGCTAAGCACAAAGAAACATTTTATAAAGAAATTGGAAGCTTCTGCTCAGTCTTTTAAAGGAAAGGAAAAACTAGCAGTTGGCAGAGAAGAGTGAAGCAAAGGGCAAAAAGACTGAAGAACAAAAGCCTTCATGGGCTGATCTTTGTTTTCCAGACTGTGTGTAAAAACAATTTAACAAGTGAAGACATGAACATATTTGAAAATACTTTACTTTACCAGATCAAAACTAGAAGACAGTTGAAATGGCCAGCAGACCAGTTGAAGCATGTTGACCCTGTTCTAATAACATTAAATGCTGGGTTTAGTTGCTGTACTGACTGGAGTGCATTGCAGTATCAATGATAACACAGCTCTTTTTGTATGTGTCCTCTTTTTGGTATCTCTGTCCCACACTGGCTTTTTGGGTTTTATCACCTCATGGCAGTTTCTCACTTTRTTCTGCTTTTCACTAGTGTAAGATTACTGAACAGGGCCCAGCTGTCTTCATGGCATTGTCACTGCTCCTCTTTGTGGAAAACAGAGAAGAAGCAAAATAAATTGAATGAAGAGTTTAGCTGGGTGGACAGATAGGAAAGGCCAATATCTCTAATATATCACACAGTAAGATGTGATTCATAGCTTGGTTGTGAGGACATAAGGAATGATCAAAGTAGAAAAGTTAATATTTTCTAGATCACCTTTACCTTGAGCAATTAACTTCAACTAACCTGATTGGTCCTACATGTTCATTAATCTGGATTTTTTTTTTTGACGTGGCCACACCTGTGCCACTATATTGACTGTCAAGAGTATTTTTTGTTAGCTCAGCTGCTTTTCTTTCCTGGAAACCTCCCAAAGTAACCTTTCTCAAGGGCTTAACTTTCACAGTAAACCACACTTAGACCAGAAGCTGAGGACTAACCTTTATTAATTCAGCATGTCCAGCTGGATTTGGACTTCCTTTTCCACAGGCCCCCATAATTGTGCAAATTCAAAATACGTAAAGCAAAGTATAAGCCTGATAACAAACCCAATGCCTGGTATTACTGTTATCAAACCTGCATTGCTCAGATTCCAGCTGCTGTGACAGGATCAAGGACACCCTATTCAGGGGCAGTGGCAGCATTTCTGGTGGTGGAAGGCACTCTTGGCTTTGTGTCAGCTCTACCTGCAGGACACATGCCTCTACACTTTCTCACTTTCTCAGTGTATTTACACCTCCAGATGGGATTCCTCCTCCTTTTCCAGCTTGTCTCAGTGGGAAGGTTTCCTGCAGGGAGCTGCTGCTTCAGTTCAGTTCTCATCCTGTCACTCCTACCCCAACCAGGGGATGCCACCTTGCACTGGGAAGTCCTCTCCAGCCCATTTATACTGGAGCAGGCTGAGCTGACCTGCTCTTTTCCCTGCTTTTATGCTTCCTTGGCTGTGATTCAACTTGGCTGCCAGGTTTGCTAAACACTCTCCATAATCTGGGAGTACCTGAGTCTCCAATGTTGTTATGGAATCCTTAAAACGTGGAAAACACTTTACTTTGAAAACAGCTGCATGTGCAGTTTGTTTCTCAAACTTATGGACTGCTTATTTTTCTGGGATCTCCACTAAATCTGGTTCCTGCAGCTTCCTTGCCCAGGCCTTTCCTCCACCTTTCATTTTGTTTTTTTTTCATGAAACCCTGCACTCGGGGACCTGTCTCATGGGGTGTCCACGATGATTTCATGGAGATCTTCTGGTCCAAACCCCCCTGCCAAGGCAGGGYCACCTRGAGMAGGTCAYTYAGTGCAAATAACAGGGCAAGAACRYGTCCAGRTGGGCTTTCAATGTCTCCAGACGGGATGTTCCATAGATTTCTGTGGGAAGTCTGATCCAGCGCTCTGCCACCCGCAGTGTAAAGAAGTTATTCCTCCTGTTGAGGYGGAACTTCTTGTGTTTTAGTTCATGGCCACTGCTCCATAAAGCCTTGTCGTCAGGCACCAGTGAAGAGTGTGGCACCATCCTCTGGGCACCCACGCGTGACATATTTATGTGCATTAGTGAGATCCCCTCTCAGTCTGCTCTGCACTAAACAGGGGCTGCAGTTTCTCCTCATAACAGAGTGTCCTAATCACCTTTCTGGCCGTTTCTGGGCGCTCCCCGGTAGCCGCCACTCCGATCCGCCTTTTCCCCTCACAGC